TACTAGCAGTTAACAGTATAAAATGATTGGATGTTAAAACATAATATCCTGCGCATGAGTGTGAGCTAACATACTTTCTTTTAAAAATAGTATGTTGTGTTATCCCTATTGTATCATATAACAAATGATCGAATACGTTGAAAGACAGAGAGTGGCGTCTCTTTATTGATTTAATGAAGTCATCTATAATGATAATTAATTAATTATATATGATAATTGATTAATTGTCTAAGTGATAATTGATTAATTGTCTAAGTGATAATTGATATGACTAATGATGAATTGGGAATTAGTTGGGGTAAAAGATGTTGAAAACACTACATTAAAGCTGGATGACCTACATTGTTAAATCATATACTGATGCATACATATATTAATAACACTTGTGATATTGACAAATACATTAATATCATTGATAATATTATATGCAATGATAATATATAAAAAGATGATGCATGTGAATAGATAAGATAGATTCATTTAGTGATTTGTGAATAATTTTTGTAATGTTGTTTTACTGATTTATTGAACTTTATATCAATTATTGATAATATTTAATCATTAACTATATTGATTGTTATTGGTTATATTAGACTGAACAAATCATATTAATTTTTTAGTCATTGTATTGAAAGTTTTAGTAAGTTTTGAATTATTGTTGGGCTTTTGAGCTCATCAGGTAGATTTTTAATGATTTTAGGTTAGAGAATGAGTCAAGACAAGTTGGAGTGAGATTCTCAAAGATCCTTAGATTTTCTTTAAAATTTTGTTATGTATTATTTTTATTCTTTTGTAGAGTGATCTCCTACCTATTGTAAATGATATTTTGGGTGAATAAATAGTAAAATATATTGATGCATATGATTTTAGTTGATTTCACTGGTTATTTTTTATATTGATAATAATTTATATAAGCTATGATATATTCTTAAAATGATAAATAAACAATTTTTTCAAATTTGATTATGGGGTGTTACCGTACTCTCCCTCTTATTCTAGGATAAAGAAAGAAAGATTACTTATCACTTACTTTATAGTGAATTTTGCAACTGGGCAAAAGCCCCATGTTTTTTTCCTTTTCGACTTTTCCATGCAAAAATTTTTTCTAGTCCGATTATTTTTATCTGTACATGCTGAATTTTTGTACAACACTAAGACACAAAATATATATATGCTAACAACTCAAATTTTCTAACGTGTAATAAGGATTTGATGAAATTTGATCATTCATAAAATGAAATATTCAGGATTATATGTGAAATATTCAAAATCATTAAACATTTAAATAGAAATAAAAAAAAAAACATTGCTAAAAAACTATCAAAATATCATAATGCATTTTGTATTGATATAGGATTAATTTTATTGTGTTTAATTTCATGCTTTTTGTGCAATCTCTCATACGATAATTATTGTGTTTAGCTCCTTACTTTATAATTTATGTGCAATCTCTCATACTATTAAATTATTAATAATTAAATCTTAAAAATTATAATTAAATTTATTGATAATACAACTAATTATTACAGATTTATTGTTTATTTTTTTTTTTAAGAAAATGATGAGTAATAAATATCAAAATATAATATCTGATCTCCTAATATTAAAAAAAGAATATTCTTTGATAATCTAATTATATTCATCTAATAACTTAGTTCTGTCAGAATATTAACCATTTAAAAATTTTTGTGCAAAATTACAAACAAAACAATCAGAAGCTTAATGTGACGGCAAAATGCGCGAAAGAGACAAGATCAATACCGGTACTAATTTGGTGCGTCGTGCCATCTGACACCTTAATCGGAAGCTTCTCCTCTCTCTGCTGCTGCATATCCTCCTCGACATCCAACGCTAGCGCCGCCGCCATGAGCGCCTCTTCCGCCCTGCGTCGCGCCGAAGAAGAAGGAAGAAGAAGAATGCGAGGAAGGGAGGAAATACAGAAGTGAGGAACCTCAGCGCCCTGCCATTTTGCGATAATATGTAGGCGATAAATACATGGAGAGAAAAAGATTCAGCAAAGAGATGTTAGGACTCCCTCTTAAATGCTCGCCGGCATTAAAAAACAACTCTATAATCACAAATTTGACTCTTGTGGATATTTGCATGGAGCCAACACTCCAACTCGATGAGACAAAAATTATTTTTTTTATTTGATTAAAAATTATATGAGAATATTTATATATAATATATATCATCATGATAAGTTAAATATTTGAAGAATTAAAACAAGCGCTTAAATATTTTTTGAATATTCTTTTATTATTTTATTTGTGAGCATTGCTGTATTCTTGTTCGGCACCATCAGAAGTGCCGAAGATACGTATTTTTTGATCGGCGCATTTTGAATTTTGGCAATATTCTTTTGATTGTGGTGAGAATTTATTTAAAAAAAAATGAGTTGGGGGTGGAGATGTAGTAGTATACGATTTCATTCAGGATAACTTTTTTATTGTGTTTTAAAACAATTTTTTATTATAAAAATTTCAAGTTCAAAAAAAAATTTAACTAAAAAGTTATTTTAAAAAATAATAAAAAGTTATCCAAATGAAGCCTACATGAGATGCGATGTGATGTAGTAGATCGTCGGAAGAATAGACCTGCAAGAAGGATTTAATCTCAATCCAGGGAATAAGAGGAACACAAGCTTCAAAGCTTCATAAAAGGGATAATATTCATTCAATGTCTTTTCCTCCTACAATACTTGCTTATATAAGCTAAATAGAACAATCTAGAAGATACTTGTAATAAGCTCATAACAAACTAATTAATATATGCCTAAGGAGTAATTTAGTTAAGATGCTCTGCATCACGATGTCTTGCAAAATTATGTTTTTAATCCATTAACAAGGTTTAGTTTGAGAATGCTTCCTCACTAATTTTAACAACTTTTTAGCTTTTTTTTTTTTTTTAAATAATGAAAAAATAGCTGAGAAAAATTACCCTGAACAAACCCTAAATATTTTTGGTTGATCAGTGGTTGATCAAAAGGGTAGAAGCAATAGTATTTTTTTCTTGAGTATGCTTAAGAAAATTTTTAAGGTTAAAATGGCTGTTTGGTTTAATGAAAAATAAGTATAAATTGTTTTAAGCATATGGGTTTTAAAAATTTAGATGTTTGAATAGAAGAAAAAATAATGGAGTGTAAATATTTGATGAATTTCAATTTTATTTTGTACTTCACTTTGTGATGTATTTTAAACTCATAAAATATATGATGTTATTCCATAAAGATCTTATTTGCAAGTAGAGGTTAAACCATGTAACAAATATAATCCGCAGAATTAATAGACATTAACCTTGTCTTAATAGTTACATTCTAATAAACAAACATAATAAAATTTTGATGTAATTTAAAAAATAATTCCACTAATCTAAGATTGTTAGAAATATTTTAATAAAAATGCTAATTAAGAAAATCAATTGATTATATTCTTTTCAATATAAAAATATGATAGTTTAATATAATAATTTATCATAGTTAATTATCAATATGTTAATCTTTTTTATCAAAGAAAATCAATATGAAAATTTAATCAAAAACAAAATGAAAATTCTAATAAAAACTATCATAATTGTAAAAATCTTTAGCAAAAGACTCAAGAAATCTAGGCGTTCTTAAATATTCTTTCTGTCATGTATGACCCTTATTTTTAAGAAACCTTCCTTTTTTAAGAAGGTTTCTCCAATGAATGTTTCTTATATGAATTTGTCTCAACTCTAATGACCTTATGACCTATTATGGGCAGCAAGATGTGAAATCTCAAAATTAACAATCTAAGCATAATGTACAATGGGCCAATGAATAATGGAAAGAGCAACCTCTAGTATAAAATCTTCAAAAGAAGAAAGTTCACTATGAATATAAGCAATACCTTATAGAGCAACAATTAAACTCAACTCATCATTACATAAGGAATTGATGCTTCTTTAAATTTATGATACTAGATAATTATAATTCTTGGCCCTTGTCAAAGAGAAAATAATTATTTATAATAGATGCATTGGATGAACTCTTTAAAAATAAAATAAAATAAAATAAAAAGATTGACTGAGGACCATATATGAGAAAGGATAAATATAGCATCAAAATTTATTGACTTACTAATGTTATCAAATTGTAGACTTTCAGGTTATTATGTTACTCATAATTGGATTCAGATAAGTATTTTTTTAAGATATGTCTTACTCAATAAAATATTGCATTGGAACTTCATATATGTACTCATGAGTGAAGACAAGATCAATATGTATGTAATAGATATTAACTCCACTTTATATATTACAAGAAGATTAAATATTGCTTTGAGATGCACACAGTTAGACTTCTACAAGAGAGGGGATGTGGCTTCTTGCTACCTCTTAGATTTTCTTTTGTTCTTTCTCATTGTATCTTAATTGAGATCTTTAGCTTTTAAGTTTATTTTCGTTTAGGATGTAGCTCTCTGAGCATTAGTTACTTTAGATCCCTTTAAGGACCTGTAACCGTTGTTCTTATCAACACAGGCTTTCTCGCTCGTGGGTTTTATTTATAAAAAAACATATACAATTTTTTTTTTACATTCTTATTGCAGACATTGTATGATCTCTTAAGATATCCACTACTCATGGAGGTAATCATTTTTTAATATTTCATTGATGTTTATTCTAGATAAATGTTATGTTATTTATCTTAAATCAAAGGATAAAAATTTATATAAGGAGAACAATAAGTAGAATATCAAAAAGTAAACAAGTTAAAATTTTAAAGATTAAAACATTTTGCATAGCACAAAATCAAATATGATATTTACACACATTGTTGTATAGGTAAAAAAAAAGAGTATAAATCAAGTATTACAACTTGTAAAAAAAAAAAACAATTGAATCACCCCACAATCCAATCTTAAACGAATATTATCCACACTCAATTATGCAATTAATCTTATCATAACCATTCAAATAATAAGCTGCCGAATCTTCATTTGCTTATTCTCAACCGCTCTCTTCTTCTCAACTGCTCCTTAACAACGAGGAAAATCCGGCGGCGGAGGCGGCAAAGTCGACGACGGCGTTGGCCCGTTCTCCACCTCGAATGCCATCCCCAGGCCAATCGGAAGGTGAACATCCAAATGGCAGTGCATGAACCAAATACCTGCACATCAATTAGTTGCTAACTCTTTATATCAGAAAATTTTATGAAAAAAATTTCAATTTGTTACGTGTTATCCTAAAAAAAATTCTTCTTGCAATCAGCGATAATCTTACCAGGATTATCCGCCCAGAACCGAATGACCGCCCATCCTCCCGCCGGCACCGCAATCGTATTCCTCTCCTGCGGATTCACTAAATTAAACGCCTTCACGGCCTCCGTCTCGTTATAATTTCCAAACCCCAGCGCCAGCACATAGAAATTAAACCCGTGAAGATGAATCGGGTGGCTCTCAGCCGTAAGCACCGCCGTATTCTGCAGCACAATCTGCACCGTCGAGTTGTACTGCAACTTCTTCACCTTCGTCCCCTTATCCGACGATTGCAACGGCGCCCCCACCGCGTTTACGTTCGGATTCGTGTAATCGAAAGCCAGTTGCGGTCTATCAGGAAAGTCCTTCGTGTAAACCCCTTGGACTCCACGAAAATGAGCCTCCAGTAATGAAATGGCTGTCGGAAAACGAAAGGAGACGTTGTTCATGTTGGCGGATAAGGCGACGCCTTGGCAGAGCGGCTGGTCGGCGGCGCATGGCGAGAGGCTGAGGCCGAAGGTGATAAACATGTGCTCGGAGATATTGAGGGGGACGGATTGTAGTTTTGGGCGTTGGAGGGCGGTGAGGTTGGAGTAGAAGTGGTGGGCGGTGGGGGTGTCGTTGAAGGCCGGGAGGGAAGGCAATAACGGCGGGGAAGAAGAGGGGAAGGAGTATTTGTAGGTGAGGATGGCGACGGTTGTGGTGTTGTCGACGGGGAGGTTAGGGGTGCTGGCGTAGGCGAGGGCGGCCATGTAGTATCGGCCGGGGGCAGCGTTGGCGTGCAGGAGGGCGTCGACGGTCTGGCCGGGGGCGACGGTTATCACGTCGGTCTGGAAAGGTGTAGTATAGGCCGCGTCGGCGGCGACGACGGTGAGTGGGTGATTGGCGATTTTGAAGAAGAGTTGGGAGTTGAGAGCAGCGTTGATGATGCGGAGAAGGTAGGTCTTGCCTTGCTCTACTTCTAATTTGTATGTGTCTGCATGCATCGATAGGGAAGATAAAAGAATTTAATAAAATTTATGATGATTGATAAAGTATATGAATTTGTTCTTACGTTTTTTGGAGCAGGGGTAGAGATCGCCGGGGCGGCCATTGATGGTGAATGCATCGGAGTTGTTAAATGCACCGCCGGCGGCGAGAGCAGCATTCTCAAGGTTCACCACATCTGCGTCCCACCACTCGCCTGACATATAATTCATTCATGAAGATCATCATATACATAAACATATTGTAAATTAGAAAGGGAAAATGCGGACAAATTACCAAGGAGGATGGTGGCTTCCTTATAAGGCGTGGGAAAGGGATAGCCGGCGGCGCCGGCTCTTGGCCGGATGATAAGCGCGCCGTAGACGGTGGCGCGGAGGACAGAGACGTGGGCGTGCCACCAAAGCGTGCCCTCTTGCCCGATGATGTTGAACTTGTACGTGTAACTATTTTGTGGCTGAATGGGGCATTGGGTTATGTAGTTTGGTCCGTCAGCCCATTGTGTCAAACGCTGGAATATCCCATGCCTGTTTTCAATATTATCAAGCATTTCTTAAGGTAAAGATTTCATGAATATTCTACTAATAAGACATAGGATTAGAACAAAAAATCAAATATTGTGTTATATATATATATATATATATTAGGAAAAGATTAATAAATTATTTGATATAATTTTTATCACTTTTTTTATACTGCTTTAAAAATTTACATAACACCTAAAACTATTGCAAATACATATTTAGTACCTAAATTTTTATATTTACTAATATACCACATAAAACTCCTATTTTAATCAATTCTAATATTCCTTTTAAACCTTTCATAAAAATTCACTACCAGTGATTGTCTTCCCCATCAATGACATCCTTTTATAGTGAATACAAGTATCTCAACGCTTCAATGGAGTGCTAGAATAGAAGGAAAGGATAATTTTAGGTGGTATATTAGTAAATATAGAAGTTTATATGTTAAATATATATTTTCAATCATTTTAGATGTTATATATGTATGTAAAAATCCCAATTGTTTTTTATAAAAAAATGGTGAGAAAATGATTCCAAATGAAGCCCAAAAGATAATTAATTATTCTGTGTAGACACCGAATGTCGTCCGAAAATCAACCAAAATTTGCCACGTCGCCCCTTCGCTCGGTACTACTTGGTACCGCGGCTTGGTGCCGTTGACGTGACGCATTCTAATTGGTCTTCGGACACCCCGCACAGAATAATTTCTCCTAAAAAAAGCATAAGAGAAAATTTTAAGGTATATTCTTTTAATTTTGTGTGTGCTAATTTGATAATGATAGTAAATTGATAATCTAACATTTGAATGGTTCATGCTGATACATATATAAATCTTACTATGGATGAGAAATTTACCAGTGAATGGAAATATTATAGGGGGATTGATTGAGGACATAGACGACCACAGTGTCACCCTCATGAGCATTAATAGTTGGGCCTGGATATTCGCCATTAACTGCTGTGATAAGTTTGTTCTTGCAAAGCCTTCTCACTGTAAGATTACCCACCTAATGACATATAACAAATTGTCAAAAAAGATCTATTAATAGCAATTATTTAGGTCAAGAGAGTTTCCATCAAAAGATTCTTCTCTGTAAGAAAATATGCGATAATAAGATCATCTACTTTGTCATTAATTAAATATCTGAATATATAGAATTCATTATGAGATAGTTTTTTTGTTGCTTTCTGAAGTAATTTTTTAGTAGAATTTTTTTTTAAAAAAATAGTTTTCTAGTATAAAAATTTTTAATGTAAAAATCTTCATACTAAAAAATTAATTCAAAAAATAACAAAAAAAAAGAAAGTTATCTCAAACGAAATCATATGCTTCGTTTGTGACGACTTTCTTAGTACTTTTTAAAGCAACTTTTTAGTTAAAAAATTTTAATTTTTAACTAGAAAACTACTTTAACAAATAGTAAGAAAGCCGTCCCAAAGAAAACCATAGTCTCATTAAAAAGTTTATAATTCTGAATTGAAAATAAGAACAGTTCAATTTGTTGCATTTGCTCTTTAAACTTTATTTCGCATTTTATTTATTTAAAATAATAAAAATAAATTAGAAAAATCGAACACAGGAAAAAAACAGCTTCCAATTAATCAACCACGTCACAGTGTGGTATTATTTCGTTATCCGGCTTGATTAAACAACAATGCAGAAAAAAAATATAACAATTAAACTAGCGAACGTTGGTCAGCAATGTGAAGTATTTTAGAATAAAATAATTAAAATTTTCAAATAATAGATTTTCCTTCAAGAAGCTACCCATTATTTTTTGCAAAAACAGAAGGTATCGGGCATGGCCTCATGGAAAACTAGGGATGACAACAAAGCTGTTTTTGGGACAGCTTTTAGCTAATATTTTCTTATTTTAAAAAAATTATAATAAAAAGCTGCTTTTGAAAGCAGAAATAAAATTGTCCCAAATATAATCTAACTAAGAAGAGATTATTACATGCCGACTCCGGACTAGAGAACCATCCATTTTTGTAAGTGTGCGTAGTAAAAATACAATTTATGTACGGACTGCGCATTTACTTGGTACACTCACAAAAATCGGACGTAGCTTCGATCTTAACACCGCACGTAATAATCTCTCCTAACTAAGGCACTATATGAGAGAGGCAATTTTTTTTACTATTTATATTTCAATCGCTAATACACTTTAATTTGATATTATTCTCTTATTAGTTTTTCGTTATTTTTTTTTTACAAATTTTTAGAGTGGGAAGTTGTTTTTTTATAACTAGATTTACTAATAACTTCAACAATAAAATCTAATTAAGCATAAGAAGTAAATAATTTGACAGATATCATTGATTTAGAATTTTTTATATTTCACATTTAAATTCTTATATATATATATATATATATGGTATATAATTTTACATTTATAAAATATTAAGTTGGATATATAGTATTCATGTGTCCAATATATTGCATTATAGGATGCCTTAATTACTTTTAATATTTGAAATATCAAATTTAAATATCCTAAACCCTACTAAGTTAAATAATTAAATATCCTATTAATAAGATATAATTTTTTTTTATTAATAAGATATAATTGTCATCCCTATGTGAAACTATTGCTAACCACCAAAAAATTCAAAATATTTTGGTGATGTTATTCTTTTATATATCACGTGCATATATACTTCAAAGTTTATTCAGCAAAGCTATTTGATCCCAATATAATAATAAGGTTTATTTTTTAATTCACTAAGTCAAATTTATAGTTAAAACTTAACATCATCACCATATTGAAATTTATAAAAAAATTGCAATATTGACTCATCAACTACCTCATCAAAAATTATAATTATTTTATAAATAGCACAAGAAATAAATCCTGAAATCTAGAACATATAAGTTTAATGTGTTTTTCATATAATTTTATTATAAATTAAATAGCCTTATAAATTATATGAAAAATTGCAAAACAATAATCTTAAATATAAATAGTGAGAATTTGTGTCATACTAATTTGTTTTTAAAAGTCACATTAATCAAAGAAGGGAAAAATGATCATTTTAAAAGACTAACGAACTCTTCAACTTTCAATGACACTTTCATTAAAATGATTTAAGAAGAGTTTAGTATTGTTTAATTTCTCCATTTTAGATTTATGCTCTGTCTCTTTTTTTGTAATTTAAAAATTTTAAAGAAAGGGAAACATCTTAAATATTTAAAAAAAATAATGTGATTTTTTTCTTTCTTTCTAAATTTTAAATTTCAAAAATATGATAAAATATTATTTTAAAAAATAACTTTTGTGGGTACATTAAACAAATTTAAACACAAACATTATTATTATTTATATATTTAAATAAACATTAAAAATAATACTATTTATAATTTTTGTAATTCAAAATCTTTTTTGCATTAAAAATCATCTTATTTGGTTAAATACAAACATGATCATTAAATAATGAATTAATCATTAACATCACCTTAAATATAATTTAATTAAATTAAGTTTTTTTGTTTAATATATAGAGCAGAGTATTTCCTATATTATTTATCAAAGTATTATTATTATCCAAAGAGTTATCATATTTATAGTACAAATGCCCCCAAAGTACTTGTGATTATTCCTGCTTTTTATTGAACACCGCCCTTCGTCATTATGTAGTTGTTGACGATTTGAATAAGATAGAAAACTTGTCCTTCTTCCGAACTTCTCGCCTCACTACCGTTCATCCATACCTTTCTAAGCTTCTTTATTTCTGTCTACTGACGTTGATTTCTTCAGTTTATTCTCACTTTGATTCGCCAAAATTTTCTTTCACACATTTGATATAATGAATCTTTTGAATAGTTACTAAATAGGACACCTTAAAACTTACAATATAGAATAGAAAGTTTTCGTTTTGTATATTTTAAATAGATAAGTTCAAATTTGCTCACTAATGTTATTAGAAGTGATAGAAGGAATCTAGTTGCAGAAGCATTATCATTGAGAAGGCAAATATTTCATACGGCATATAACATAACAGGGAAGGATTTATATCTGATCCTAAACCTTGAGAACCAAAGGCCATTGGAAAAAGAAAAGGATTGTAATCATCTTAATCAGGGGCTGAATCGGTCTTAATTTTCGGGGGCGGAGGGAAACTTATAAGTAAAAGTGTACGTAGAGATTTCGCAGATATGTTGGGGGTCCAAGGGGACAGCGCCTCCTGATGGGTTTCGACCTACCCGATTAAGTCACAGGAACAAATTTTGGTTGTAAGGATATTTTTTGATTCTCTTTATTATTTCTGTTTGTATTTGGTTCATCGTTCCCTAACAATAAAATATGTACACAATGTGTTTAATTATGCTGGAGGCAATTGCCTAAAGACATAGTATTTTAAAACTTTTAAGGAGGCAATTGACTAAAAACCATTTTAATAAAGACTAAAAATAGATGATTGGAAACAAATTATCTACAATATCATTTTTTTTTATGGGGGGCAATTGCCTCGGGCTTTAGGTAGATCTGCCCTTGCTTCATATATAAATGTGTTGTAGTGCGACCTTTAATGCATATATATAATTAAAAAAATTATTTTTAGGGGGGGAAATTGCCCCCGGGCTTTTGGTAGATCCGCCCCTAATCTTAATGATCTGTTCAATAGCCTCTTCATGATCAGGGAAGCTCTAATTACCTAACAAGGCATTGTTTCATTATTTATTATTCAATTAATATTGACACGCTAGCTATGTTCTTCGTTTGAGATAATTTTTTACGGCTTTGCAAAGCTATTTTTAAGCTGAAAATTTCTTAAAAGCAAGAAAAAAAGGGTAGTCTAAAGCTATCCCAAACGAAATCTTAACCACAAAACATATATGGAATATGAATGAAATAGAACTTGAATGCAAGCATATAATTAAAGCAAATAACGAGGTAATGGTTTATAGAAACCTTACTATGAAAGTGTGCTCCACCACCTCAGCTTCCGCAGAGAAACTGAGGAAAGCAAAGATGACACAAACCAAGAACAATGCAGATCGAGCCATGAAGCTCACTAAGATAAATATGAATGGAGAGGGAAATGCTATGTAGGAAGTATTCCCTGTCCCTATGGATTGGTATGCAAGCTATCTGTCTCCTTCTATGTTTATATAGAGTTGCAGGTATTGATTGGTTCTAAGTTTTAAGTTCTATATATATAAATTATTAAGAACTGGAAGTTGGACCTTGTAAATTTGCGTGTCTATATAAGTTTCCACTTGGCAGGTTTTGATAAAGATAGAAGCTAGCTCTAAAGCTTAAGAAAGATTGAATAAGCCCATATTTTTCGTTGCCTGTCTTCTTGAGCTGATAATTTATGAAGAAAATCATATATGAATGGGACTTCTTAAGTTGGTAATGGAGAATAATCTCTTAAGAAAGAAAAAAAATATAGAGAGGTTGTTGAAGTGAAAGAGATGTGATTCAACAAGAAAGCATGACCTCAATTCAAATTGTTAGTGAGTAAACTAAAGCAAAATAGGCATTTTGCCGTTTTTTTTCTACAGCTGTTGATATAATCTTTTACAGGGGTAGAAATTGTTGCAAAAATATTTTTAAGTAGTTCAGTAATTGCCCTAAAATTGCCGTGTGATTTTTCACTGCAAAAAAATCAGCAGCGGTTTTAAATTTACAAGCTATATTTGTATAATGATTATAAAACCTGAAAACTTTCATAATGATTATAACAGCTTTTTTTGGGAACGGGATATTCAGCTGTTGCCATCCTCGAAAGGTTGATTGACTGAGTGACTAATCCTCATTGACCTAGAAGAAGCACCTACCCCACAAACCTTTTGGCCCGCACTTGATTGGGCCCCACTTAAGAGGCACCTTCATGGGCGGATGCAGTGTGGGGGCCATGGGGGCAGTGGCCCCCACTGACTTTGGGAATAACATGGCATTAAAATTTTTTCTAAAACATTAAATAAATAAATATTAAGCTGTTATAGTAAGTAGTAACACGTTAATATTATTTCCTCTGGTTCTCAACGCATGCTTCCGCCTTTCCCTATTCATATTCCGACTTTCCCTATTCCCACTCTGCAGAAATTCGCGGACGGCGGACCTGGAACTCCACGCATAATAATTTCTCTTGAAGTACAAGAGCTTTAAACCATCTCAATTCTATAAGTTTAGATAAAACAACATTTTAAACTATTCCAGCATGATATTATAATAGTGTTTTAACTATTGCTAATTATCAACAATTAGAACCTAATAGAAATTTTGTGTTTAGGATAGTTGAAGAAACTCTCAAGATTGTATTGAACTATTTATTTTTTATTTAGAACAGTTTTTTCACTGCTTTATGAAACAATTTTCTTTATAAAATATTTTTGAATTTGAAAATTTTGTACTAGAAAGCTATTTCATAAACCAATAAGAAAGTTATCAAAAAAAAAAAAAACTTTAATCTTGAATTTGACATGCACCAAATGATAAAGCTAGCATAAGCCTATTTATAAGAGGAGTGCAATAATTAAGGTTGAAGTACCGATCGAGCAGCCGTCTCTATTAGGGTAATAATCAAGCTAAAATTAATTAAAAGGGGAGTATAATAATCCATGTGTTAAATGTACCTTTGATAGAGCAAATTCCCTCTTAGTTGCCTTACAAGTGTGTCTTGGTCGGCTTTTTCATATGGTGGCTTGCAATTCCAACTTCATATAAATAAAAGAGATTCTTTCCTCTAATTTCTTCATGATTCATCATTAAAAGCTTCTTCATAATAAAGTATTTATGGTTAATTCGACTTATGGATACTTCACTATAGATTATAGAATATTTGATATGCATGATCACCATGCTAGTTTGGCACTTTGCTATTCATCAAAAACCAACTTTTAGTTCATGGGTGATAAAAATGGTTATGGTAAGTAGATTGGGAAGGCAGACTTGATTGGGTCAAGTCAACTAAAAGCACACCTTGTCCTAAAATGGATTAGATTGTTAAAGCTGGTTAATGTAGACTTGTTTGATGACCTTATAATTCCTTTCAATGAGTTGTAGAAGCCTTCAAATAATTAAACCCATGTTGATCATATTTTGACCATATCCCTATCATCTATTTCGCATGTCATTTGTCACATTATATTCTAAGCGATGCGTGCAACCTTCGTATGTAATCAAACATTGATTTCTATCACTTTAAATTGCATATTGGTGGACTGAATGGGCTTTGATACCAATTTATTATGGAGAAACTCCAAAATTAAAGTCTCACACACATAAGAGCACAATAGTTGACCATGGTTTGAAAATTTATCTACGTCAATGATAAGAGAAGTTATTCTATGCGGTGGCAACCAGATGCAAAATGTCGTCCAGAGATCAACCAAAATGAGTCATGTCAGCAGTACCGAGCCACGGTACCTAGCACAGGGTGACATGGCACATTCTGCTTAGTCTCCGGACGGCGTTCGACGTCCGCACATAATAATTTCTCCAATGGTAGACATCAAATTCAACTAAAACTTGAATAAAAATACTCATAATTTCTCTTGGTCCTTATAGATATCCATAAGTTTTTTTTTTTTTTTTTTTTTTTTTTTTTTTAAATAAAACTCTTATATTAAAATTGATAAAACGAGGTTACAACAGTTGAAGAAGGAAAATCAGACAGCAAAGAAAACCAATAACAAGAAACAGACACAATAAAAACCCCCAAAGAGGGCTCAGTAGAATGCCGAGACTGCCAGCGTCCACGAAAGCACCAGGACCGTCCAGCAAAGGTGGAAATCACCAAAGGTTGCCACAAAGAAGCCAACGCAGACACGAGCCCCAGCAACATCATCGCCCCGCAACCTTCAATCCAAACAATAATCAAAATAGAATAATCGTAAGAACCAAACCAGGATGATAGCGAATTATCTTCTTCTGCCACCTCTCTTCCAGAATTTTCCACGAGAGGCTACCTTAAGAGGTACATCACGGTTCAATTTAAATTCATTACCCGGATCTGAATAGGACTCAGAATCAGATCCAAAGTCAGACGAATTGTGCAACCAATCACCCTGAGATTTAATATCAAGTCCAGAAGTACCACTCACTGTTACAGGAACATTAACCAAATTATCCAAAATTTCTTGCACACCCGAATTAACAACCAAGCCACACACATTTGATTCCACATTACCAACACTAACCATCGGCCTACCACAATCCTCCATAACACCCAAAACAGGCGAAACCTCATCCCCCCTTCCACACTCGGGAGGAGAAATCGCAACATTAACAGAATCAGAAACCACCTTCGACACCAGAACAGCATCCGAAATTTCCTCAATCACATCTTTAGGACCCAAACCCTTCACCACACTAGAAGGAATAAAAGGACTAGCATTATGAGACAAAGTAATATCAGCAGCCACCGACATAAAGACACCAGCATCACCCTTAGCACCAGGGGAAAAAGTCGGAGACTCAACAGAAGCGGTTTTAGTCGCAATATTAGCATTCTCACATCCCATAATTTTCTCACAAGAAGAATCAATAACATTACCAGTTTCAATTAAGCAATCAGCAACATTTCGAACACCCGTTCTCCCTCCCTCCCCCAACGAAGAAGAAGGAAAAAGATTAGGATGAAGAATGGTGCAACCGGCCTTAGAATGCCCCAACGAAGAACAATGCACACAATATTCCGGTAATTCTTCGAAAACCACAGACTGAACATAACCAGCATTTTCCGGACCAATCCAAATTTTATCAGGAAAATTTTTGGTAACATCTATTTCCACCAAAACTCTCGCAACTGAAGGACGGGAACCAGTAGAAGTCGCGTTATCGGTTTTTAAAGGATTCCCGAAAATCTTCCCCAAACCATGGAGAATATGCGACGCAAACAGATGCGGCCTAAGATTTGGAAAAGAAATCCAGATGGGAATAACCGGAGAATCAATTTCGACATCTAAAATAGGCGACCACTTAACCAATTTCATGAAACAATTGTTAACGAAATAGGATCTATGAGCAAACACCCTACAATAATCCAAATCATTGAAAAGCTTAATCAAGACGTTCCGATTGTTAAGAACAGTGACAGAGACATCCCCCTTCAGTTTAAGATTAAAGAAAAATTTCCTAATAGCATCCAAAGATGGACGACGAGCAGGAAACTTTCCGACAAGGGCAAACTCAAACGGAGCAGCTAAGGATTCGATTTCCATCTCCGAAATCCACAAAGAAGGCATGCCTCTAAAAGAAGAAACCTTAATTTCGAGAAACACTACAGCACTAGACGAAGAACCAGAAAGCGCATCTTTAAACGAAAGAGGCGAAGAACCGGTTAAAAATCCAGGATCACGAAGACGAGAAGAAGCCATCATCACCAAAACACAAGAACAAAAAGGATGAGGAGACTTCCCTGACGAAGAGGAGACGAGCCGCCAGGCGCAAACGATGAGAACGGCGGGGACGGAAAGTCGCCGCCAGGAGGATTTAGGGCATCGCGGAAGTAGCTCAAAACCTTTGTTTATTGACTGTAGATATCCATAAGTTATTAGACTTGAAAACTTATGTTTTTGATGATTTACAAATATTGATTATATGGGTTTATATAGTGAAAAAATTATCCATCTCTCAATGTCATTGATCAACTATCATAATAAATTTTTGTGATAGTCAATATTAAAGATTTTATGATAGCCCGCATTTAAGACTTTCATGATTAAAAATGAATAACTATTTCTAACACTAAAAATCTGCAAGTTATACATAACAAATAATCTAGTTCTAATATCAACTCCAATTTTTTATCATCCATCCACTCATTATGATTAATAAATAAATTATCTAAAACTTTATTATGAAACAATGATAGTCTACTAAACCTCTTATTATAAATAATACACACTACCAAGATTATCATTGAAAAAATTGTGATGCTTCATCAAAGACCAATCAAGATATCTACTCTAAAGGAATCCTAGTTAGGCATAATTATAATCAAGAAATGCTCTCTTTCTATCATCTTCATCTTTGTGTAATCAAAAGACAACCATTC